AAAACCTTCGTAGGATATGGATTCAAAATGATAATAAACTGTATCATGGGTAAAACGATAGTCTTCTGAAGGCTATAAAGCAGGGGACGATATTTGGGTCGCAATATTGCTAGAAGTGCTAAATACGTGAAGTTGAAGAATCAACAAATATACCACTCATTACCGAAACAGATTCAGCTTTACGTAAACTGTCGAAGATTGCCGAATGAATGGCTCAGTAATTTAATATGATAAAAACAGGGTAATAATTGCCTGTGAATACAACCTCCCGCATCCCTACCAACATTCCTACCTCTACCTGATGATTCTTGGAAGAGCTACTGGAATTAACTTGGAAAAGGGCCAATCACTATCCTGATAGATTTCCCTCATTACACGCTGCAGGGCGTTTACCCATCTTTAAAAGAACATTCTTCATTCAGGTGCAGTTCAAACGTAAGACATAAAGCGCCATTTTGAAGCTCATGCTTGTAGTTGGACACTTACACTTCCGTTACATTTGACCCAATACAAAGCTTTCTATTTATATTTGTATAGTGAAGTAGTGAACAATGATATAGTTATGCAATATGTACTTTTCATGTCAAAACGTTTTGAATTTCAAGGTCAAAATATGGGAAATATATGAAAAAGTGACAGTTTATATGTTTTAAATTACAAAGTCACTAGTAATTGGGCACTTTAGTTAAGATACATAAAGTATACCGGTACTTAACATACATACCCCCCCCCCCCCCCTCTCCCCCCTTTTAACTTCAATCAACCTTCTGTAACACTGCTAATAATCTTCTAATCCTCAAAACAATTATGATTCTGATGTGATTGTATAATAGGCAACTGAATACATCTGAAATTATTTTGTTCCAATATTCAACTACAGATTGCCACCTACAGCCTTTTGTCCCAACCTCTAAACAGAAATCCATTTCGAGCGATTTTTCTCGACAGATCTCGAGGATCAATCTTAACATTATCAAGGCCATTTGAAGATTAGGGTCATGAAAGAGGCCGATGACTTTGTAGTTAAGGAAGTGAAAATAAGGTCTCGGTTGAATGTAGACTAAACATGACATGATTATATATATGAGATATATTTTTTAAAATATCACTTAGAACATATATTAGGGTGAAGGACTATATAAAGATAGCTTGCCAAGCAAGGTAACATACGCCCACTGGCAGCTGTCAGAAATAATAAAACAGTCTTTAGTGTCTAAAGTATGAATTTTGTCATAATAAAGAAATTTTGAAAGTTTGAATTCAATGATATATATATTTACTGCCAGTTATTTATACTGAGAAATTCCACCAAATTTTAAAAAATCAATATCAATAACCCAAATACAACTAATTATCGCATCAATATACACCATGTTTCATTAAAATCATTTGAAAACTGTAGTCACTTTTTAGTTCACAAACAAATTTTGACATGTTTTCCATAAGTCAAGGGAAATAATTCAAAAACCGTTCATCGAAAGATCGTCAAATTCAAACTTGACCATGATCTCATCAATATAAATGACCACATCAAATTTCATTAAAATCTGGTGAAAATTGTAGTCTCTATTGTGTTCACAAGAAATGTTGACGACTACATTTCCACATGAGCGTATAAAAAAGGACTGAGCATTATGAATAATGTTTTGACTGGATTTTTGTATTGCAGGACAGTAGGCGTGTACGGTACGTGACTATATAAGTCGAAACAATTCACGATTCACATCATAATTGCATTAATTTATGTTAGAAACATTATTCAACACGAATTGTTAAACTAGTTATTAGTCAATACATCAGTATGAATATTAAATTACGATGCCCGGAGATAATGATCGCCTTTATTACATTAGGTAAGTTGACTTTTATTATTATAACTTTAACCCGAAAATTGACAGTAATTTAACTGCAAGAAAAGTCTTTTAATGTGCCAAAGGAGGCCGCGTGGAAACACGTCGAAACGTTGCACAAGACTTTACAAGATTCAAGATGATTTGGGGTTTGAATTCTAGTTGTTTCTCAGGTCTACTATACTGTAAACAGGCGAAACACGACGCATTTAGATTATTTTTTAAAAAATGCCAACATCCATGCGCACACAAAGACAAAACCTACAATCAAAACAAAGAAGCGGGAGTAGGTCGTAATCACCCACTGAATATTACAATCCTGAGTTTGGGTACACAGATTTCCACAGATTTTCAAGCACTGCAATAGTAAGCGCGAGAGAACCACAACACAAATGTTATATTTACAAAAAATGTCCACATCCATGCTTCACACATAGACAAAACTATATAGACAAGCAATACATTTTAACGATCTTAAAGTTGAGAGGTTCACTATTTTAGGCGGTTGATTTGAGTCTTAAAAATATGTAAATAGTCTTCAGAAGTACTAGAATTGTAAGAAAATCGCATAATCCCTTCAAAAATATCTCAAACTAGGAATTTTACTCACTTTTTCTATAGAAGTCTTTTCTATGACGAGTCATCATTTTAACATTCAAACGCGGATAATTCTAAACACACATGGATTTGAAGGGTCAAATTTCGACAGTGAGCTATGAACACTATAACTGATTGGCTTAGCTAAAAAAAAGTACATGTTTATACACGAGTATGATTGGTAAAAAAGAATGGCACACCTGTCCCCTTAATAATGCTTCATGATTTATTAATATATATATATTTACTATCAGTTATTCATGCTGAGTTTTTCCACATATATATTTTTTTAAAATGACAACAATAACCCAAATAAATCAATTTATCACACTGTTCTCATGTCGTAGATTTGTAAAATATTTGATAAGGCAAGGGTAATAACTCACAAATCGTTCGACAGCAAATTCGAGCTTGTCCACTATATCATCAATATAAATGATAACACAAAATTCAATAAAAATCAGATAAAAATTGTAGTCTCTATTGTGTTTACAAACAAAGTTTGGCGTTTTTCCTTAGTCAAGGATAATGACTCAAAAACCATCCGTCAAAAAACCGCCAAATTAAAACTTGTCTAAGATCTTATCATTATAAACGATCACACCAAACTGCAGAACTGTAGTCTCTTATGTTAACAATCAAATCAAAACTGAAGGGCAATAACTCAAAACTAAAATTCAAACAGTTGAGGTAAAGATTAACAACGTGAGGCTCCAGTTTTGGTCTTAAAACTTCCTGCATGCATTATGTACTTTAATTGTCAGCTCTATCCAGGAGCAAAATCGTCTTATTTCATGCACACAATATTTCCATGTCAAGATCTTCACCCTAGATGATTTTTCAAACACGCATGCAATGATAAAAATACTTTTGTTTAATACAATACAATATACAATACAATTCATTTTCTCACTCAATAACATATAAAGGGTCAACCACATTAACCTGTAGCGACATTTTTGACGAATTGTTTCCAAAATAATGATTAATATTTCATTTTTTAAATAATATTTATGTCATCTCTATCATAAATTTATATTAATAACAGTGAACTCTTTTGCCGGAATCTTTCATAAAATAACAAAACAGCCGCGCTAAATGAACTCTTACAGTTGCAGTTGCTTACAGATCACAACCAGTCGTTAGATTAAGGAAACCTGAACGCCCCAACCCAACCACCCTCGCCTAATTCTTAGGTTCCATATAATCGACTATATACATGTATAATGCAACCATTTCACCGAGAATTATTTTGGTTCCAATAGTAACAGATTTTTTTGTCGATCGTTTTATTTCTGCGAAAGTATATTGGAAAACTGTGGGCACTGTCGAGCAATACCTTCAGGGGAAGATCTGGTGCGATGACCTCGGCCAGCCGGGTTGGTACCCGCAAAGTAATACCCTAATGAAAAGCAGTAGATTAAAAACCATCGGCGCCCGTGGTCGTCTGAAGCGACAAAAATATCTGGTCGGTTCACGTATTCTCGAAAAGATCTTAGAGCAATTAAGGATATCACAGAAACAGTTAAGACTCTAGGACATCCTTGCGCTAAGATCGTATCGAGAATACATGGCCTGGTTCAAATCGTGTCGATTGGAAAAAAAACAATCTTTAGTTTTAAGTGGAAATAGACATGTTGTAACCTATTTTCGTGCATATAAGAATTCAACACCGAATTTCGTCAAAGTTAAAAAAAACAGAAAAATAAAAATTTATGTCTTAGATGTTTCCTCAGATATTCTACAAAATAATTAAAATTGGTTTGTTTCGATTTTCTTCATGAATCCTTCACTTTGACCCATATTTCGTGAGCAACCAACTCGGCAACGGCGGCAGAATGCGTCACCTATTTTCGTGTACAACGTTTGATCTGTAAATAAGTCGAGAAAAACACGTTGTATGGATACCGGGTGGTATAATTAGCTTCTCATAGTATTTATCTTTAATATCAATTCATTATAACTAGTGACAATTCCTTCAAAGAACCACGATTTTAAAAAAAATAGTGACTGAAAAAATAAGATTCGTAGTGTGATTTATTGCTAAAAGTCACTGACACCACATCAGAATATGGTCCACTTTGTGTTCCATAGAAATTTTCTGCAGGCACGGAATCCGCTAGTTGATCAAGTGACTTCATTCGTTGGACTACATTCCAACTAGCAGATGACAGTTGGAATTTCGATTACCGCTTGGGATTATAAGGAAATTCGGCCGATAAAAATGGCGAAGTTTGGTAATAACTGAAATCCGCCATTTTGTATTTGTCAAAGTATACATTAATACATTTTACCTTGCATGGAACTACTGGATTCATTCTACTAGCTGATATTGTAGATATGTTTATCAAAACAAGCAAATGCGGAGATCACACGAGGTCGCACATGTAAATTATTAATCCTTTCCGGAAATGCACGAAAAATAGGTTAGCACGAAATTAGGTCACTTGACTGTATTAGCCTATAAGTCCAAATGGAATAAAAAGACTACCAGCTTCTAACTCTGATTTGTGTCTTTCAGGAAATATGAATGTCCATGGTTGCACTACAGAAAGTTTGTACACATGTCATGATGGAACGCGAATCCCATTAAGATATCAATGTGATGGTGATAATGATTGTTCCAATGGCGAGGATGAACAAAACTGCAATGGTAAAGTATCTTGTCTGATTGAAAAAGTATATCTTTCAGTGGAACCGCTGATCCTGTTGACCAATTGATTTTTCGCTTTTTTTTTCTTATCAAACGATGAAATAGTTTCCACTGTAATCTAACACGTTATCTACTGAAGATCCGTTCCAAAGGTAGTATATCAACCAATCAGAGTGTGTCGTGTTTCTTGATACAATAAGGAATTGTGTGATATAGAATCATAAAGTAGAGCAAAATGGCAGCATCTTTTGGTCGCTATCCCACAATTCGTCATTGGTATATAAACAAAAACAGGTAGGTCTACTACGTGATACGCTTTAATTGGTTAAACATTGGGACGGGCCTTTGGTCGAAAACTTTTTAGATCACAATGTAGACAAGAAAAATTGTGTTCTATATCTATCAAATTTATACAGAAAAGCTTTGTGTATATTGTTGTAGTCAATTGTGCTAAAAACGAAAAAAAGTGTGAAGATACGACCTGTATACCAGCTAATTGGTGGTGTGATGGTGAATTCGATTGTCCAGATTCCAGTGATGAGAAACAATGCCCAGCCATTGTATATGAACCTGTACGTATACCAACCCATAAATACAATAACATTGTCACCCGGAAGGATACACTATGGCAATAGCAAACTGAAATGAAAAGAGTTAAGATTCAGTATCATGCAATTGAAAGGGAAATTCTATATCTTAAACGCTAATTTAGTTACTTTTCATATTGCGCACGTCTTGCAACTCGGTGCATTTTTGTTTGAAGCATGGACATGTATGTCGAAAGCAAGTTCTCACAAACACATTGTCAGTCAGTCTTAGTCGGAGAGAATCATTCACCATCTAGTATTAGTGGCACTTAATGCGAAAGGTATTTTTGCTCAAAGCTGCGGCCAGCCAGCTGGTGTTATGTCAAGCCAGCTACGACCATCAAAATAATACGTTGGCTTAGCTGTAACCAGTTGATACAACCCCTCAGCCAGCCGAAAATTGGCAAGCTGGCTGACTCACGGGTCTAATTGTAGAGCTGTCATGTGCCCCATTTCTCTTTCAGTAACTGCTATCTGGCATCGGCTAATAGTTTTTGATAAAAAAAAAGAACATCGTCTTCGTCTTAACGGTTTGTTATTAAGATATCAAGATGTGTCTTGGATGGGTGCAATTCTAAAGAAATGGGAAGTTGACAAACCATCCATCGACTAAACGCCATTGTATGTTTCAGGGTTTTCACACACAGACTGGTGAATTTACATGTCATGACCAGTCCAAGATATCAATACAATTTCATTGTGACGGCTCTCCAGACTGCCCTGATGGATCAGATGAAGTCAATTGTACCCGTAAGTAGTATGTCCTTTTGATGTTACTTTTTTCTGAGCTGCAAGATATGTTTGACCTTGCTGGGAATCTTTCGGATCTTGGGAAATAGTTCTCTCAGCATCCGTTGTGGGTGGAGGGCGTGACTTCCAGTTAAGTGGCTTTGATGACCTCAAATTGGGTTCAAAGAGTTGCTTTATTTAAAGATAGTGATCATCCATTAGAAGCACCATATTGAAGATTGCTTATTTTAGATACATGTGGACCAAACCAATGGAAATGTGATTATTTTGATTGTATACCGGTTACTTGGTGGTGCGATGGTCAAAACGATTGTCCTGATGACAGTGATGAACAACATTGTTTGACACAGATTACTGAAGCCAGTCCACACGTAAGTAAATGATATAAGTCCATTGGCTATATAGTTTATAAATCATATATGTCTAGTCTAGTTCACCAGTGGATCAACTAGATGAGTTGGGGCCCTTGAACTTTCGTAGGTTGGAACTGGTTCAACAGTCCCCTATGGTAGAACAGCCACTGTAGTTCACGTCAGCATTAAAAGTCCTATGACAATTGCAATCAGGTTCATCTCGATGCATGTTCCAAAGAGTCCGAAATTGATCTTCGATTATTAAATTATTTGTGTGGAATTTAGAGTTTCGTTGATAAGTTCGAGTGTTATTTTGTTCAGGAAGCACGCTGAAAGCAGCTTCTTTTAATATACCATTTTTCCAATTAAAGAAATCTGAGAGCATATCAACCTGCCAGGCAAACCATGTTCAATATTGAGTGGAAACATAGAATAAAAGGGGGGTCTTTCTTTATCCCCCTTTATAATCAGTAATCATTAGATTTTAATAATTCATTTAAATTTCAGAACTCATCGCTATTATCAAGGATTGAGTCGGCGTCACTTGTCTCTAACAATAATGAAAATCAAGTGGCATTAAAACTGAAGTCCAGTGCAAGTTTGAAGTCCTCTGTCGGTTTATTACGTACAGTTCCATTTGCAGCGATATTTCTCATAGTGCTAATCGGTATGTGTTTAAAGCATTAACTGGATATCGCCTATGCTATCCGCAGTACTTTTCATTAAGAAAATTCGATGTCGTGGATGTATTCAATTAAAAGACGGTTACCTCTCACCGCCGTCGATACCATTAACATTATTTGTAAACGTGTATTAATTTATATAGTTTTGTTTGTATTTGGAACATCTGAAACGTGTCATGCACTTGTATTGAATCTTATAAAATTGGATTAGAATTCAGTACATGGCCACTAATAGGTAACGAGGATTTCACAGTATTACCCAATTTGCCATTCAAACTGACTTGCAAGATGTTTTACAGAACATTTAAAAGCGGTGGAAAATGAAAATCTTTGGGTGGCTAACCACTTGTGGTAGAAAAAATTAGCAAAGTTCCATTCTGGTTAGTTCTCCAATTGATAACAGGTTTCCTGTGGTAGAAAAAATTAGCAAAGTTCCATTCTGGTTAGTTCTCCCAATTGAAAACAGGTTTCCTGCAAGAATATCTCAACTGACCTACTTGATCTTCGGGTTATTCAGAATGCTCTCAACAGAATATAAACCTCTATAGGAAATTTAGACATATTATGCGACAGATATATGCATGTTTTGAACATCCCAGAGAGCTGTCCCTTAGATTAAAACGATTCTTTTAGGTGCTTTCACACTAGAGAAATATCAGTGTGGATTACTAAAGTCCTGTTTTTATGCATTCATGTGCACAAGGGGTATTGTAAATAATGTTAAATAATAGTTTTCATCGAGTACCATTTACCCATTTACGATAAACAAGTGCATATAACAGGGTTTTAAGGTAGGACACATGAACGGTCTTGACCAGAGATTTGTCGCTATTAGAATCTTCCACGAAAAGATATTCAAAATTTTATAACATCCACCTAGTTTGATAATTGTCACCGATATTCTTTTAATCTTCAGTAAGACAGACCGTCATCATCCAATCAGATTCATTTTCCTTTCAATTGCATTCTCCGCACGTGATTATCGACATGGTGGAAAACGACAGATTGGAGATTTTTGCCCTGTGTGCCCGTGCCACTCAATGAAACTCTTGACATGACTGTCGGCGACAAAAATCTTCGACCGACAATTTTAGAGTTCATATATAATTGGTGTTGAGAGATATGTTGCGATGAATCCTTTATTTTCGGGCTTGAAATAACTTTCCAGTTTTCTTAAGATAATGAATGTACAACAGCTGAGAAAATAGGAAAATTACTCAGTGGATTGTCTAGTAAAATCAATAATACATGAAGCATTATCCACTATAATAACTTTCTCTAGAATATCAGTTGTATTTATCAGACAAGGACCCAATGACGAAAAAAACTTCATTGCAAGTTTTTATTTTTCATTTCAAATTGCAAATGAAATAATATTGCAAAATATGTATGGTTAAAAACAAGACATGGAGATGAGAGGGGGGAAATGGCGAGTCAATATTAGTGGTTGTAAAGCCAGACATTGAATATATGGTATTGAAAAATTATTAAATATTGCGAGCATTGAATATCATGGAATGGTTTAAAATTATCAGAATATCCTATCTGCCAAAAAAACAAATCCTCCTATATATACTTTCAAAAACAAATATCAATTTCAATCCAAATCAGCAATGTAGTATAGTAGAAAATATACAAATGTTACCCCTACGAGGTGTTGACTGCGCTTACAGACAGCATCACATCTGTAGAAGTATGTAGTTGGACGGATCAAAATCTCTACCATCGACACCACCAATACTGTCAAATACTTAAAAAATACTTTTGAATACTTTCATAATTCATTCATGCATCAATATAATTCAATATGAATCAATCAATGTGAAAAAATAAATCAACAAGAATCAAAGATAATTTGGCACAATTTCATATTTGCATAGTTAAAAATTTGACGAAAGCAATAATCCTATACAACTGTTTGACTATAAAGTACCTAATTCAAAATCAATCAAAAAGGAATGTCAATCAAATGATAATAGTTCAATCAAATCAATCAATAGTAATACATGTCATGATCAATGAATATTTTTCGAAGAATGAAAACATATCAAAGCAATTATGAGCATCAATATCAAAGTCTAATAAGGCAATATCAAATATTAATCAATATCAAAATATCAATCAAAAGTATATATGATCACGATTTAGTCATTTAATTTCATATTACGCATAAAAACATTCAAATTAAAAACGATATGTTCGCATTAAATAAGTTGTCTACCCATCAGAAAACAACCTAGGAGAAAGGGAATCATTAGTAATCTTTTCATTGTGAAAAATAAAAAAAAAAAATAGCGCAATATCTCAATTCAATGCATACAACAAGAAATTTTATTTCAATAGGAATTCAATGTCAAAAGCTTACCTGGTTCTGTGATTTACCCCTGAAACAATCACTATTTTTATGGCATGGATAAAATGAAGTTTTCATTTGTGGCAAAAAAGGTGATAAAAACATGGCATATTTCATCATCAAATATTTTAAAGAAAAAAACAAAGACATGTGAACATTTATTCATTTCAATGACTAAAATTTGAAGAGAACACAAAAAGCATGAGATGAGGAGGCCTCAGATCAGAAAAAAGACTATGTACATAAATATTAGTTTGGAATAAAAATAGGTTTCAAACCATATAAAATAATACTAGGATACATTGGGGGTTAATTATTTCTTTGCATCTTGAATTTAAAATTGGAGACATTTTCAGTTTCACACACATATTAGCTCAGTTATATTGGAGTCCAGGTAATTTACAATTTAATATTTACAACACAATTTGCTACCACTTCTAGAAAATTCAATGTCACTACCATTTCCGTAGTTCAGCTTCCTCGACATTGACATTGATATACAAACATCAGTCGAAGTAAAATTAAATGCTACAAACAAATTGCTTGGGTATTGATGCTATGCAATTAACAACACTGTGTGACAAAAATCGACGGGATTTTTTCCCTAGGCATAAAAACAACTCCACCAATTCCAACTAAGCACTTTTACGATGTATTTTGTTAGACAAAGTTTTGTGAAGCATGGAATGTGGCTTTCTACATGATGAGATGAAATGATGAGGGGGGTTATATTTGTGGATTAAGGACAAAAATAGATCATGTATAACAGGGGCGTTTCAAAACGTATATGAAGACATCAAAACAGCATAAAAATGAAGTACATCAACTTGGGTAATAATTTGTTCAATCTAACAGCATCAAAAAACATCAACATAACCTGTATAATAAAATAGGATAAAACAACAATACAACAAGAAATGGTCAGAGGACCACGTCCCCAAAAACTGGTCAGCTTCTGGTTCAGAAACCTGTGAAATTAGGCATTCATATCTAAGCATATTTCATTTAATAAGGCATTTCAGTTATATTTATTGCTTTATTCAAATCCTTGTCAAATTCTTTCTTCTCTTATTAACCCTTTAAACAGGGTCAGAAATACACTGAACTGAATGAATGGCCTTTTCTCCACAAATTACTTGTAAATGCCTATATGGGTAGCATAGTAAAATATTGGCAAGTCTCGAAAGGGTTAATAAAAGCAACAAGAATTTGACAAAACTTCATAGACTGATTGAGTTAAACAAATGTCATCTTCAACTTTGAGTGAACATAGGTAGTTATATTTGTTCAGCATCTGCATGTTCTCAAAATTGAAGATGACCAATACTTTAAACAAATGCTTACTTACTGTTTTAGATGAGATCTGAAATAGATATTCTATTAGTATTTTATAAGTATATATATATACCTGATGTCTTACTGTTGGGGTGCTGGTGCAGCAGGTCCCCCACCACCACCAGGTGCATTCTGCATGATCATATTAGCTTGATAGTGTAAGCCTTGTTGACGATAATATTCAGCCCAAGCTGCACTGTAATCAGGCTGACCAGTCTGCGGATTTATAGCTGAAAAATAGAATTGTCAACATTAAAGAGGCTGGCTCTACCCTGTGTATCAGGTTTACCAGCATCTAATTCCCATATAACAAGAAACAGAATTTTAAACTAAAAAAAAAATAAATGAAATGAATGGAGTTTTACGTTTAAATTTTCTGCACCATACTAAAAAAAAAAAAAAAAAAAAAAAAAAAAAAAAAAAAAACTGGACAACTACTAGAATTCAATGCTTGGCTCTGCTGGGTCTTCATCTTTTACAATTTCTGTAGGGCTCAACATTGTTGAAAGAGTCTCTTCAAGTTACAAATCTTTTTGGACATCTTACCTGGTTGAGCACTAGCTGTAGGTGCCGCCGGCTGTGTTGGGGTCTGACTCTGTGGTGGTTGTTGGGGTGAAGGTTGTTGATATCCACCATACTGGGCATAATAATGAGCATAATAGTTGGCCCAAGCTGCAGCATTGTCTTGTGCTTGTTTACCTGTTAAACAAATCAAATTTTAGTATTTTTTTTTGCATGGCAATCAATGAATATTATATCAACTCAAAAAATGTAATTGTTTTTGGCACATTGTGGATTGATAGTTTAAAACTTATTTCTTTGGACAGTTAACTGAAGTATTGAGCGTCAGTTCTTACCTGGGTCTCCTTGTTGCGGTGGATATTGTTGACCACCATAATTATTCCAGCCTTGAGGTCCTCCACCTCCAAACTGCTGTGGTGGTTGACTGCAAGACAAATTTAATATGTAAATATTCAAGAACATGCAGCACCAAAAATAACCATATAAACTTATCCATATATGCTATTTGTGTGATTTAATTGAAGTAATCATTGTTACTATCAAATCAGTATAGTATATGCTCCCTTTGGCACCCTTCAACTTTTACAATTGACTGGCAACGCCTCTAAAAAGAGCAATGTATCTATCTTACTACATGAAATTCCATTAACTTAAAGAAAAGTGATACTTACTTGGGTTGACCAAATTGTCCACCAAATTGATCAAAATTTCCACCAGGTGGTCCTCCTTGATTAGGACCCCCGGGACCTTGTGGTCCACCTGGTCCTCCTCCCATTGGTCCACCAGGTCCAGGTCCTGGCTGCAAAGAATAATTTATATTCTAAATTCAAAGCTCATCCAAAATTATCAGAATTGTTTAATAATCTACTGGAATATCTCACATGATGGAGACGCCAGTCAAACTGGTGTGAACAGAAGCTTTACATGACCCAGAACTGAATCCTTTAAGTAACTAAGGCAATATCTTGATCTATGACATACCTCAGATCTCCTGTTACAAGAATAAAGATCCAAATCTAAATTCATGCTGCATTTGGCACCCTTGTGACACCTCTAAAAAGAGCAATAGCTGAAAATCAGAACAAAATACACTTACCGTAATGCCAGCCTTCTCACTGATAAGCTGTATAGCATGCTCTATTTGTGGAGGTGTACCACGAATAATAAAGATTTTTTCCATAGGAGAAGGTGGTGGATTTCTATCTAATTCAACATGTGCCTGTGACATCTTGTTTATTTCTCTTATGGAATCACCACCTGCAACATAAGGAACAATTTAGTCAAATGCTCAAATTATTCTCAAAAGAAATTCAGTTTTAGTGTCATATTTTTCTGCCTCATTGAGTTGTACCATGGCCAGGTAGTAAAAGCTAGATACCACTTGGACTATACAGAGCAGTTACCTAAGTGGTAAATTCTTAATTTTAGGGCAAAAGGAGCATTCCAATTCTTATATTTGATTCAGCTTTATTAGTAATCATTGTTACTATCAAATCAGTTTTATTTATGCTCCCTTTGGCACCCTTCATCTTTTACAATTGACTGGCAACGCCTCTAAAAAGAACGATGAGTTTACCTTTGCCAATAACTAAACCACATTTATCAGCTGGTACAGGGAAGGTGGTTTCATCCATTTCATTGAAACTATCAAAACCTCCTCCTCCTCCACCACCACCTCTACCTCCTCCTCTTCCTCCACCATTAAAGCCTCCTCTACCACCTCGACCACCTCTACCACCAGGACCTCCTCTACCCATACCAAACCCACCACCTCTTTGATTCTGAAATAAAAAAAAATATCATTTATTAAAATCTTGGATTTGAAGCCAACTCAGGCTTTCACGAGCAGATAGCTTGACATATTTGACCTCTTTTTGGCCCATACCTTCCACTAGTAGGGGCATCTTGTCGGCACAAAATGGATTTAGCGAATATCTTCCATGCAAGTAGAGTCAGCAAGAGTCGGCAAGATCATGTGTCACTCATCGATGAAACCCTGTTTAAATACGTTCAGGTGGTTTATCATTTTTTATTGCAGAAAGCATTTGATCTGGGTTGGGTTACTTAACCGCACTTGGAATCTACTAGCAGTAAAACTAAACTGTACCTGTGTATGTTGTAATAACTCATTTATCTGTTGAACAGCTTGTTGTACCTTTTCTGGTGGTCCTGTTATAGAACATATTCTTTCTGGTGTCTGACCATCATCTACATAGAAATAGAACATTCCGTGAAAATTTTAATCTACTTGCGTCTCTTACTGGACAATATTTGAATTGCATGGACAATTTTTCAAATAAGCAACCAACTGGACATGATTATTTCAATAGGAACATTTAACAAATCTCATAGTAGTAATACGTGTTCCAGGGTCTACTATCAAACTCCATCTATAGTAAATGGTGTTAGCGAATCCCTGATTTTATCTAGCACTTTTATAAAACACTCGCTGATATAGAATCATTGAATGTGGATTCTGTGCTTATTATGTACTAAAAAGGTCAACTTTGCCACATATTATAACTTTACATGTAGACTTGAGTCGACTCTTAAGATATTGAAGTTATTCTTTGCTTGCAATATAAAGGGACAATTTTTTATTGCGTCAAGACCAAAGTCATGGATAACTGTATCAGTGAGGTTCTTGGATGACAATCTAACAAATGGGAATTATAAAATAGGAAGAAAATTTCTTTTTCTCCTTAGTTCCTTAAATTTGGCCAGAGACTGATATCGAATATGGCAGATTGACCACTTAAAGAGGAAGTCCTCACATTTTTCCACAGTTCAGCGATGGCAGCAAGCAGATTTTAGAATGGAACTGGCCTTCAGTCCTTTGAATGTCGCCAAAATTCTAATCGGTATTTTCATGCCTATGTTATATGGCCAATAAAAGACAATGCCCCCACATGGCCAAGTTCTTCACATTCCAGTGATGGCAGTTAGGCAGATTTTTTCATGGAACTGGCAGAAACCCAACCACATGCTGCCTTTAGACATGTGGATAACACCAAAATTCCAATATAACGGTATTTTCATGCCTAATGACCAGTCAGAGACGAAGCCTCCACATTCCTAATTTATGAAAACTGGTCAATTTTGTCCAAAGGTCTTCTATGGAATTGTGAATTGAATATGCCAATCTAATCAATTCTAGTATAAATAGGAAGGAATACTTTTTTTCTATAGATCCCATAGATCTGGCCAGTGACATATCCAATATGGAGAACTGGTCAAAGACAAAGCCCCTACCCTACATGGCCAAGAATATTCAAATTTTTTCATAGTAGTAATGTAGTCATCTATAATAAATGGTGTTAGCAAATCCCTGATTTTATCTAGCACTTTTATAAAACACTCGCTAATATAGAATCATTGAATGTGGATTCTGTGCTTATGTGGTAACTGGTAAATGGTCAACTTTGCCATATATATTGACATGTGGACGTGGATGTTTTTCAAAGCTAGAAATGAGATCTAATGTACATTAACATTTATAAGTTAGATTTCATAAAAATGAACTTACCAGGTCTGAACTGTACTTTAGCATCAGTTTCTTCTTGAATCTTTTTAATCATTTCACCACCTTTACCAATAACTAATCCTACAGCTTCTCTGGGAACTGGGATCTAAATAAAAAGTTCCAATAATAAAATTCTCCCATTCTCCCATCAATAACAAACATGATATGATTATCTTTTGAATGATTTAACACAGTTCACCAATGTTTGCTATATAGAATTAGTTTATTGCTACCAGGAAGAGGATGAGAACTTACCTCTACTCCCCCTCCACGACCTCCCATCATACCACCACCAAATTCATTAAAACCACCCTAAAAGAAGATCAAATTTCCAGCATTAAACAACTATACAAATTAAGCAATATCAGCTATGTGTCCTCTCAATTGAATTAAATGTGGTTAAACAAGGCAATTTCAAAAGTGAATACACACAGTTGGAACTTTCCGAGGAACTCTTCATTCCAGAAAGCTTTAAGAATTGGACTAAAGAGCAATTGAAGTGCTTCGGTACAATTTTCGTAACTTTTTTACAGATTAATGGAAAGCGAAAAATAAAAATTTGCATCATTTAACTTTATCAGTAATCATTGTTACCACTAAATCAGTATACTTTATGCTCCCTCCCTTTGGGACCCTTCAACTGGTACAGTTGCCTGGCAACGCCTCTAAAAAGAGTAATCTGTAGAAATAAGCTATCTTTACTAATACTTACACCACCACCACCATTCATATCTTTGTCTTGTATTAATTGTAATATTGCTTCTTTTGCATTCTACAAAATAAAAATTAATGGCTAATTGTAATTTAACAATTTGAAAAAAGCAATTCAATAACCAATTTAAATAGAACTGGTTTGATCCAAAGGATGCAAATCCCTTTTAAATTCCAAAGATTCATAATATTCAATCTTATCCCAACTCTTAAACAGTTACCAACCTGACATTTGTCCATAGAACCACTGATCCTTAATGGTTTTTCTCCTGACGATGGTGAGGTACTGTCTTGTATCATGATCATTTTAACACCATGATCTTCCTATAATATAAAAAAAAAAATCAATCACTATTAAGATATTAAATGTATTTGGAGGCTGGAAAAGTAACATATTTTCTCATCTGGATTGCCAAAACAATGTAGCTTTGATGCACAACGAATCTCTAAGAATGAGATAAAACTGAGTTTTAGCTACAAAAGGGCCAAGTCAGAATCACTAACCTGCAAACTTCTGATGGTTTCACCTCCTTTACCAATGATTAGCCCAACTTTATTGCCAGGTATAAACATTTCAATAACTGTCTGTCCATCACCATTCATCATACCCATAGGATGTAACCCTGATGAATGAGCTCTCTCAATGATTCTATCTATAACCTGCTTACACATTCTACAAAATATACAAGTATAACTGTTTAACATTCTAAAAATCATACAATTATAACCTGCTAATCATTCTTCAAAATATACAAAACCTGCTCAGCTTTCAAGAGCCTTTAAACAAAACTGAGCTTAATTTCCAGAATAAAAATTCAAAATATTTCCAACTCTAGGAATATTTAACAGCTTACTGTTCAGTAAATCGTGATGCAAACAAGTCCATATCGATCAGGACAGTCATTATTCATTATTCCTACTTACGCTATAGCTTGTGGTGTTCCTGTTAATCTACATGCTCTATCAGGTAAGCCACCACTATCTGGTGCTATCTGTACTTTACAACCAGTTTCACTCTGTAATCTTGTTATTTGTTCACCTCCTTTACCAATAACTGTAAGAAGGGCAAATTTAATCTACCATAAAGTTTGTTTTATTAAGCAGCAGACAGTGTGTGGGTGCTTACATTAAGGTAACATTGGTGTCATAGTCTTCTCTAAAATATCAAATGGAATATCTATGACAGGAGTTCGAAGGAAAGTCAAAACTTACCCAAACCAACCATCTTGTCGGGTACCATGTAAGTTTCCTCCATGACTGCACCTAAAGTTGCGTGTGGAGAAGGATTACCAATAATTGGGGGAGCTGCAGCAGGACCTACTCCAAGCTGTTGATTTATTCGAGCTGCTGCCTCTTGTGCAGCCTGAGCAGCTTGTGCAGCCGTTCCTCCTCTGCAAAGAAAATTTCAATAGTTAATATACAAAGGTAGGTCAAATCATGCGAAGTTCATTTCCTTATTCCCTTAGTAGCACATCTAGTTTAACGGCAAGTTTTTCTCACTGTCTCACCCAAAATAAAAACCTTTCTAGTATAGTTTTGTCATAAAGCTATATTTTTCTAGCTAAAATCTGTTTCAAAGCAAATAATTTTTAGCACAATCTCAATGGCATGAGAATAATGGCCAAAAATCACTCACCTTTGCTGTTCTTGAATATTAGCTCTTAGCTGAGCACCAATAGCTGAAATTGTGAACAACGTAATATTAAAGCCCCACACTACAAATAACAATACAACAATTTTTAGATAACTAAGGGTCAAACAACATCACACAGATTAATAATGCAGGCAACAGCAATGGTCAAAGTAGGAAGGAAAAAACACTATGGGTAAAATAAGGAATTGATGGCAATGAGGCAGTGGTGTTTATTTCATAAATCCATGAAACCAGTACTCAAAGAAATAAAGTGCACTTTAATTGTAAAGGAACAATTTGAGAAATTCACTCACGATCGTTCAGTGCAGCCGGAGATTTCTTTGTATCTGGCTCACCTGTAAACAGAAAGAAAAGGAAAGGCTAGCGCTAATCCTCAATTTGGTACATAGCCACCAATGCTCACGCAGATAAAGCCTTTCGCCACATATTGGTTCCAAACTTTACAGTATTTACTGGATTGTTCTGTCGAAAATATTATTAAGTTTCGAAAATGTCATCAGCATTGGTTACAAATTTTTTCCTTATATTTTCAGTTGTTTGATGTAGTTCTTTTTAACCAACCAGCGTTGATGTGGGACTCTTTCTTGCTGGGGTTCTGGATTCTGTTATTTAGGTCTGACATCAGATAAGTCCAATGATGAATATAAGAGTTTATTTTTATTGTCAAATTTTGTGACTTAAAATTCAATGTTCATTTAAGAGGCACCGGAGGTATTCCTTTCATAACTGGTCAGATAACTGTAGCTTCCGACGTTCATTCAAGGGGAATAACTCCAAAATACTTTCCCCAAATCTTGTAAAGTTCAGAGGTGGACAAGATCTCATTGAATGCACATCAAGATTTGTTTAAATATGTAGCCTCTATTTGTATTTACAAGAAATGCAGACAGATGGACGGATAGGGGCAAAGGCATATATTCAATGAGGGGGGTATATAAATGCAATATTCCCACAAACATAAATAATGCAAGAAAAAATTTGTAATATCAATTTGCAATATCTGCATGAGCACTGATGGCTATGGAGCAATACTGGTAGTCTACAATAGGAGGTTCTATGAGACAAAAGAGTTGATATGATATAGGCCAGGGAAGTGTGATCTTTCAGTAAAGACCACTGACTCATCCATGTCTAAAATTGAAGGGATTATATATAATACCATATGCAAGACAAGCTAAGAAAATAATATACAAGTACAAAATCTAAATACTGAATAAAGCACACAGCACATCTAAATAATATAATAATATAGACATTTTGTCTTTCCACTGCAGCACTCTTATTGAAGTTCCCTTCCTGTTGTTTTCAAGTATAAAACGCTAAAATGAAGCAAATACCTTCAATACTTGAAGGCAAAAAACCACACGCATTCATGCAAACATTTACATGCATCTTTATTACAAATCTTTAATGTTCCAGTAAACCAATTATCTGACAGGATTTTCCTTTCATTATGTTATGTTATTTCTAAATATCTATGCAACTGGAGAATATTGGTCTTAATTTTTAACTCATGAAAGACTATTGACTGAGCGTTCAAGAAAATAGAAAGAAGCTGGCAATGTTCAGAATATGGTATGGTACAATAATGGTTTTTAATTCTGTTCAGTAGAAAATGTATCAATGGCAAATAAAAGAAATTTCATAATTACCAAACCCTGGACCATCGTCAAAGGGACGCTTCACTCCTTGAGACTGAATATCACCTGGTTGGTTAAATTTTGCTGCTACCTAGAAAAAAATTATTACCAGTACGCAATTAGTATCAGTCTTGAAGCTCAATTGGTTTAAATTTTAAACGGAAAATCAGAATTAATATGGTAAGCAATCAAGAGAAGTACAGGTACAGTACTTGCTTGCAGGAAAATTTCAAGTTAAATTTGAGTCACACCTTGCGCGTAAAGTTAGAGGCCAACAGTAGCATTACATAGTAAACTAAAATAGTACAAATACTTGGAAAAGTCATACTCATAGATTGTGATCAAGTTTAAGAAAATGACTGCCAAATTATCAAACCAATAAAAGTAAAACTACACCCATTTGTAATATCCGAATTTCTTCGTACACAAGCAATTTTAGTAAGAGAAACTGTATCAGTATTAGGCCTAACGGTATCGGTATCTAATCAACGTAAGAAAACGGCATGCAACTGAGAATTAGATAATTTGATAAAGAAAGATTCAATTGTTTTCTGAGATCACTAGAAATCTTTACTTGTTCGTGGAATATGGCTTCCTTGACCTCGTGTTTTCACATATTATACAAAAGTAATTATGCACATTATGCGACTGTGAACTGTTGGACATAGATGTTACAGCAGACTTAGTACTCGGGTGTTTTAAGGGAAAGTTTTAACTATAATTATTAATTAATCGGGATAGGATTAGGCATAGCCAAGGAACTGAAAAATGAATATGCACGATTGCCACGAGGAGCGAATGCCGGGAGCACCGGCATGTCTATTTTCTTTGTCAGTACAACACGTACGAAACGTGAGCATGCAATACTGGCGACGTTTTTCGGGTAGAGAAAATAATTCTTGAATACTTTGACAATAAAATACTGTTATGGTACCTGTCGTGCACGGGCAAGGGCATCTGAAAAGGGTGTTCCTGCACCTCCTGCTTGATCCATCGAGAACAAAATGGCGGCGTGCAAAGGAAGAGACGCAAAAGCCTCGTGGTCGAAATGAAATCTGATTGGTTGGTACAAAAACTACGCCACCTTGTGACTGATACTGAAACGAGCACCTTGCAGAAAAAAGAAGAAAACTACAGACGACAATCAATTATTCAGGAAGGTTTATTATCTGCAGACAGTATTAGAAGAAAATTATGTACAAATTGACAGTGTCTATTTGTCACACATGTTAGATTTAGACAGGATCCTTTATAACGAATTTTAGGGGGCTGATGCCTATTTTTAATTGATAATAGGCGAGGTTGATAGGCCTACAGGCCAACAAGAATAAGAAAAGAAAACAAACGGTGTCATTATTTACAACCTGTAGGACTACTTTCGTGATTCGTGCGAGGTATTAATTATATTTTGTTATCTACTGCTCGTTATAAAAATTTCGTATCTCGGGCCGCCAGCAACAAATTTTACTGTGACTTCCTGCAAAATTCGGCTAACGAGAATGGGCCATTCCATGCAGTGTGCAATGAGGAAAATTTGAACGAGACTTGACACCGAGTTCATAATTCTTGATATAAAATTTCGAAATAACCTGCTCCGTCGTGGATTGAATTATATTTTTATCATCCATTCAATTTTGACATTCAGTCATCAATATGTCTGGAATAAAAATCAACCTGATTGACACTGTCATTGGTGTAATATCAGTCGGCACATTCTAAGCCCAAGAGCCACTGTTTGTTCGGAAATTCCCGTATCTCACCGGACAAGAAAAGGGACATTTTGTGCGAAAAATTCTTGAATTAGAACTCGGAATTTTTACGAACTATTACATTTATATTTGTTGTTATATGATCGAAAACTGCTAAGTGCGAGTCTTTATTTACAAAATGGTATTGATGTTAACGAATAATCACATTGGCTAGATATCCTAAAGATTGGATTCTTATTTATCTTCGAACGAATCATACAGTGAATTAATGCTTTTAATGCTCCATGTGAAGACTGCTTTAATCCTTTGCAAGTTCTTTCTATTGAATAGTAACTTGTTACCTTTCAACCACCGTAATTCCTTGGCGAATTATTATATATAGGGATTGGGAAAGACGGAGGAGGGCCTACGGCCACAGAATCGATGTTTTTTGGGGTAAAGCCCGATAAATTAGGTGAGAAAACAACAAAAGTAAAAATATAGGGCATTATTTTCTTCATTATTGATTCCCAACAAACAGGGGATTTAAAGATAAATAGGGATGTTTAATAACCACATGGAAGAATATTTATTTTTCATATCTTTTACGTTATACACGAACTGTCGCATATAAGCCGTAGCTATAGGGAACGTGAGTGGAAAAAAGGATTGTTCCCATGAAAAAATCCTAACAACTTCCCATTTCCTTACTTCAACTAAACACCATACACCATTGCCCCTCTGGGCATATTTCTTGCCCCAAGCTCCGAACAATCAAGTCTGTCTACGGAGATGTTCGAATTTCTGACGTCATCGGGAGAGATAACTCTTATTGTTTTCTGAGTCTATCTTGCTCAAAATGTTACTCTGGTTGTAAAATAGAACAATGTTCTGGAATAATAAAGAAAGTGGTCCCGTGAGAGCTATAATAATTAGTGAAATGTTACTATAAGGGCAAGGCAGATGTCGTAATAATATAGTTAAAGGCATGATGAATATTACTGCAATATGCTCAGTACTGATAATCTGATCAGATCGAACAGGTTCGCCATTTTAAGGGGTTGATTTGGGGCTTGGAAATTTGTAAATAGTCTTCAGAAATGTACAAAATTCGCATAATTCCTTTAAGAATATTTCGAACTAGGAATTTTTCTGTGTATTTCTATATGATATGCCTTTTCTTTGACAGTGTCTCAAGAAATGAGTCGTTTAACATTCAAACGTTTCTGAGATTAAAGTATACTTGGTCAAACGGATGGCGAACCACGGGCATCTGTTT